TTTTGTCACCACTAGAGGGCATTACAAGCACACGGTGATGTCATGGCCTGGTAAGCGCCCCTTCCGTGTTCCAGTCTTTAATCAATGAAGTACTTCGTGACATGCTTGACCGATGGGTCATAGTGTACATTGATGATAGCCTTATCTATTCCAAAAAAAGGGAAGAACACGTTGCTCATGTCAGACACATCTTTAAATGATTACAAGAACATCAGCTGTTTGTAAAACTTGAGAAATGTGAGTTCTACAGATCTGTGATTTCTTTCTGGGTTACATCATCAGTGCTCAAGGGGTTCAGATGGACAATAACAAGGCGAAAGCTGTTACAGACTGACCACCTCCCTGCTCCATCAAAGAACTACAAAGGTTTCTTGGGTTTGCGAATTTTTACCAGCAATTCATCCGTGATTTCAGCACAATTACTGCTCCTTTAACATCCTTGTTACGTGGAAAACCCAAGTCCCTTAAATGGAATGAAGCTGCCGAGACAGCCTTTGTTGAACTAAAGTCCAAATTTACTATTGCTCCCATTCTGAAACATCCAGACCCAACCCTGCCATTCATTGTGGAAGTAGATGCGTCTGACACGGGAATAGGGGCCATACTATCACAACGTCACGGTACACCCGCAAAAATGTATCCATGCACCTTCTACTCCAGAAAACGTACTCCTACTGAGCGAAACTATGATGTTGGTAACCAAGAATTACTAGCTGTTAAGGCCACATTGGAAGAATGGAGACACTGGTTGGAGGGAACCCATTATTCATTCATGATTTCACTGATCACCAAAACCTTGATTACATAAAGGCAGCCAAGCGTTTAAACCCACGTCAGGTCCGGTGGGCTCTAACTTTACTCTCACTTACCGAACTGGATCCAAAAATACCAAAGCGGATGCTCTCTCCCGTCTCCATGAACCCATTTATGGCCCTGCCAGTGAGAAAACCATCATCCCCTCCTCCTGTATAGTGGCGCCGAAAAGGTGGAAAATCATGGACCAAATACGACAGGCACATGAGTCTGATCTGCCACCCACAGACTGCCCATGTGACAAATGTTCCCCAAGCACTTCGTACTACATTTATCAACTAGGTACATTTTTCACCTAGTTCAGGGCAGCCAGGCATTCAACGCACTTTGAATCTGGTAAAAAAAAAAATAGGTTTTGTCGGCCTTTGATGAGAAATGACATAATGGATTTTGTTAATGCCTGTGTCGTTTGTGCCCAAAGCAGGACGCCATGTCAATTGCCCGCAGGGCTGCTGGAGCTCCTCCCCATTCCTCATCGTCCATGGTCCCATTTGTCTATTGATTTTATGACAGACCTCCCTTCATCTCAAGGCCATACATACATCATGGTGGTCACTGACTGATTCTCCAAGGGGTGTAGACTAATTCCATTAAGTAAGTTGCCCACTGAGATGGAAACTGCTGAGACATTGTTTCACAAAGTATTCAGGTTTTATGGTCTCCCAGAAGACATTGTTTCAGACCAGAGTCCCCAGTTTACCTCCCATGTTTGGCAAGCCTTTTGTAAGTTATTGAACATCACAGTCAGCCTGTCTCTTCTGAACCCAATCCAATGGGCAAGTGGAAAGACTCAACCAGGAAGTTGGCAGGTTTCTGTTTTCATATCGCAGCATCTCCCAATACTCCCATTTCAGTGTGTCCTAGGGTACCAACCTCCTCTGTTTCCCTGGTCGGGAGAGCCATCTGAAGTTCCTGCCATTGATGACTGGATGAGGCGAAGTCAGCAGACATGGGAGGAAACTCATGTTCATCTACAGAGGGCAATAAGAAGACAGAAGATCCAAGTGGACCGCCATCGCAGAGACTGCCCTACATATGAAGTGGGTCAGAGGGTATGGCTGTCCACTAAGGACTTGAAATTGCCATGTAAAAAACTCCCAAGTATATAGGGCCTTTTAAGGTTCTCAGCAGGATTAATCCTGTTTCTTACCAGCTTCAGTTGCCTACCCACTATAGGATTTCACCTACTTTTCATGTTTCATTACTCAAACCTGTTTCTACTGCTGGTCATCAGGTTTCTACCCTAGTGAAGGCCCTGCCGCCCTTGGACATTGATGGGTCACCGGCGTACCTGGTCCGGGCCCTGTTGGTAGGACTGTCCAATACTTGGTTGATTGGGAGGGCTATGGTCCAGAGGAACAATGCTGGGTTAGATCAGAAGACATTCTGGACCCCTCTCTCATCAGGGATTTTCACCAGGACCATCCTGACCATCCTGCTCCACGGCCACAGGGTTGGCCCCGGCGGCGGGGCTCCTTGGCATCAGGAGCTGCCCATTCGGGGGGAAGTACTGTCAGCAATTCACTATCTGGCCACCAGAGGTCTCAGTCTCCCGAGTACTAGCCCTGTTCAAAAAAAATCAAACCATCTGTACCTTATCTTCGTAATCAGTCACACCTTAAATACTCCTCCCATTCAGCCAGTGCTTTCGAGTATGACTACTGAGCAATTGTATTGTCTGTCTTGCTGGTATTTTGAACCTCAGCCTGTCCTACTGGAATCTGCTTTTGCTTTTTAACCCTTTTGCTCTGTCTGCCTGGCTTTTTTGGACTGATCTCTCTGTTACAACCTTTTTTGCTTTGCCTTTTGACATCAAGTTTTGGACTGCCCTTTTGTAAGTAAATCTGCACATGGATCCTTCTTAAGTTTCTGAGTCTGCTACATCACAGGTTCAGGTTCGCTTTCACAGAATTCAGTTTGGTATATTTGAAAAGAACTACATGAGAACACCCTTACAGTTGCTTTCATACCTTTCCTACCACTAGACTACCAGCCATGATGAGTAAATGGTAACATTTGAAATTTTTTAACTGTTTTTAGACATGAGCAATATGTCATTGAAACTATGGAGAACATTTCTTGACATGAAAAAAATTAATTGAGCCCCTTCTGTTTGGCAAAGACCTTGTGTAATGACTCCTAATTATGGAGTCTAAGTGGGGAACTGTGTCTAATAAGTCCTGCCATAAATTAATCCTAGTAGCTTCTAAAAGTAAAACTCCATTTCCAAAAAGGTTTGGACGCTGTGTAAAATGTAAATAAAAACAAAATGCAATGATGTGGAGATAATTTAAACCCTATATTTCATTGAAAAAATAGTACAAAAACAACATATGAAATGTTGTTGAAACTTTTGAAAAATATATGCCCTTTTTTAATTTGATGCCAACAACACGCTCCAAATAAGTTGGAACGGGGTAAAAATAGGCTGGTAAAGTTGTGTAATGCTAAAAGAAACACCTGCTGGTTAATTGGCAACAGGTCAGTAACATCACTGGGTATAAAAAGAGCATCCCAGAGAGGCGGAGTCTTTCAGAAGTAAAGATAAGGAGGGGCTCACCACTCTGTGAAAGACTGCATAATCAAATAGTGCATCAATTCAAGAATAACATTTCTCAATGAAAAATAGCAAATAACTTTTGCTTTTCATCATCTACAGTACATAATATCATTAAAAGATTCAGAGAATCTGGAGAAATCTTTGTATGCAAAGGACAAGGCCAAAAACCAGTATTTGCCGGCCGTGATCTTTGAGGCCTCACATGGCATTGCATTAAAAACAGACATGATACTGTAGGGGAAATCATTGCATGGGCTCAGAAACACTTCCAAAACCCCACTGTTTATGAAAACAGTTTATTACTGCATCCACAAATGCAAGTTAAAACTCTATAACGCAAAGAAGAACCATATATTAACAGGATCCAGAAAACCTGCCACCTTATCTCACCAAGCTCATTTAAAATAGACTGAGGGTAAACAGAAAAGTATCCTGTGGTCCAACGAATCAAAATTTGAAATTATTTTTGGAAATCAGTGTCCTCCGGGCTAAAGACCACTCAGTTTGTTATTAGTGCACAGTTCAAAAGCCAGTATTCATGATGGTATAGGGGTGTATTAGTGCACATGGCATGGTTGACGTGCATATCTGTGAAGGCACCATTAATGCTGAACGATATATACAAGTTTTGGCAACATATGCTGCCATCCAGACTACATCTTTTTCAGGGAAGGCCTTAATTATTTCTGCAAGACAATGCCAAAAGTTGTGAAATGAAAAATACAACAAATGAGCCCCTGAACTGTTGACAAGCTCAAATCCTATATCAAGTGAGAACGGGAAAACAAATCACTGTCAATACTACGACAATTGGTCTCCTCGGTACCCAAACGCTTACAGAGTGTTGTTAAAAAAGAGGTGATGAAACACAGTGATAAATATGCCCCTGTCCCAACTTTTTTGGAGTGTGTTGTTGGCATCAAATTGAAAATGGGCATACATTTTTCAAAAACAATAGAATTTCTCACTTGGAACATTTGGTATGTTGTCTTTGTAGTGTTTTCCTTTAAAAATATGGTTTACCTGATTTGCATAGCATTGCATCCTATTTACATTTTGCTCAGCATACCAGCTTTTTTGGAAACAGTTGTATTAACCCACCCTGAATCACAACCTTCTAATTCACATCTGATCACATATAATTAATAAAAACGCATCAGTAAGGCGTTTAGCATAGTGGATGGCTCTCACCCACCCTTCTACAAATTCTTTGCCCCCCTTCTGTGTAGCAAAACAAACTGCATATCATAAATCTCACATAGAGACACTTGAGATCATGTCAGGGGGCTGACCCTCTTGTCCTCTTCTTAAATAAAAGCACTTGTGAAGAAAAGTTTCATTTCATAGGAGACTGAGGAGGTTAGGACAGCTTTAAAATACTTGATTTGTTCATTGTCAGACTCTGCAGCATCATCACTTTCTTTCTTATACTCTAAACTGCAACAGTTTGTTAATTATTGTTACTAAATTGCCAACAGATTCAGATGTTAAATATTCCTGTTTAAAAAAAAATGTACATCAATATATTATACTGTGATACGGGATGAACATTGATTGTCATTATCTTTTCCACTGTTTAACAGCCTTATCTGAGGAAGGCAGCCTTTGGTACTAAAAGGAACAAGTGATGAACCTCTCAACGTACAGCAACATCACCCAGACTAAAATAAGGGACTCGCATATGATAGCTGTGACCAAAAATGTGATTGTTGTGGCTTTATACTTCTCCATCAACTACATTAACGGCACGCTGGTCCACACTTTCTTCAAGCATGAGATTTTTAACGAGAATCCTCGATACATCCTCTTCATCCATATGGTCATCAACGACATGATTCAGCTAACAATTGCAGTGTTGCTTAATCTCATTTCCTACATCTTCTATACAATCAATGTGTCTGTCTGTTGCATCCTTGTCATAACTGCAGTGTTCACCACCCTCAACACTCCATTGAATCTGGCCGGCATGGCTGTGGAGCGCTACATTGCTGTCTGTAACCCATTACGCCACACACAGATTTGTACTGTGCGCAGGACATACATCTTAATTGGACTGATCTGGGTCTTGGGTGCCATCACCATTTTTCCTGACCTGTTCTTTCTGTTAGCCACTGAGCCTTTATCGTTATTCCATTCTACCATATACTGCAGTCGAGACACTGTGTTCCAACATCCATACCTGGTGGAGAAGAGAAAATTCTTATACCTGGTCTATTTGTCTTTTGTATGGTTCACTTTGGTCTACACCTACTTCAGGATCATGTTTACTGCCAAGGCCACCGGTGCAGATGCCCGGAAGGCTCGAGATACTATCCTCCTGCATGGCCTGCAGCTTCTGTTGTGCATGTTAATGTATATTGTCCCACTAGTCGAGAGTACGCTAATTTCCCTCTTCCCCATGCTTTTAAATGACATACGATTCACAGGTTACATCTTTGTCCAGATTTTACCCAGGTTTATAAGTCCTATCGTGTACGGATTGAGGGATCAGATGTTCTGTGCATATCTGAAAAAGCATCTGTTGTGCGATAAGCTGAATGAAAAGAATAAAAGGACAACACAAAGCTCCTAACTCAACTTCCACACTTGCCAGTGGGGCTGTCTTAATTAAGATTATTTTAAAGAAGGAAACTTTGATAAACAAATTTGTGTAATTTTTTTTTTAGAGGATTTTGTGTATCCTCTGTATTTAGTTGTTGCAGTGGTGTACACATTTGTTTCTGAATGAAAGAACATAATTATAACTGTACATTAACAGTTGTAAAGAAACTAAAACAAGAGGATGCTTTAAAGACTATGATTGAGCCCTTGAACTTAGTGTGCACACCAAATCTTTTCTATAACATTGATTAGATTTAAAGGCAGGGGTGTAATTCTATTTTTACATAGATGTCAACAAAAAATATTATTCAATTTATGTGATGGACTGTGGATTCCTCGGCAATAATATCATAAAGATGTGATTTAAACAATTATTTTACTTGGTTGTGTTTAGTATTTCGTTATTAAATCAAATTATACCCACCTTTCACACTCAATTGTATACTGAGAACCACACATTTTCAAAACACTGCTACGCTAAATTGAGGTTAAACTCTGTGTCAAGTGAACATCTCCTGTTTGGATATTTTGGGTGTGTAAATATAATAAACATCAAAACATTTAGAATTATATGTTTACAGCTAATGGAATGCACGTGGAAGGCATTTTATTTATTAAAAAGATCAAAGCACCATTACCAATGGGTAATGACACATATATCAAAGCCCAGCTTTTCTCAGCTGCTAGGCCACAGACAACAGGTCTGCAAGCCTATGTATAGTCCACTTTCAAGTGAACCCTGGTTCAGTTCACTGCTGCTGACAACACATTTGACAAAGGTCTTCACCAAACGAGGGAATTCAACATCAAAGCACGCTTTCATCTTCTTCTATCAGCACCTCAGTTGTTGTACTTTCCACAAAATTATCCTGTTTTAATGTCTAGACAGACACTCACATTTTTTCTGCTTCTAATAAAGCACATAGTGCATTCCATGTAAAATGGAAAAAAAAGTATTTACCCCTACCTGTTTTTCTGTGTTACTGCACATTTGACATCCTGCTTTGAAAGCTTAACAAACTGTAATATTAGACAGAGAATTTTCCAAATACATTTTTATAAGTATATCATTTCTTTCAGATGCAAAATTATCCAACATGCAAATCCTCCATTTCAAAAAAGAGTTAATCAAGCAATAAATACAAAAACGTTATTCAAGCAATAAATTGGATTTAGTTGATAATTGAAATAAGCTGGTTATATTCACTGTCCTGCAATGGACTGCCGACCCGTCCAGGGTGTTTCCCATTACAGGAGCACAATTTCTCAATTCAGCTTTTTCTGTGGCTTTTTCTGCAGTTCTAGATAACGAGAGCAATTTCATGGATCTTCTTCTGCACAATGAATCATTGTTTTACATAAAATATAATAATTTCGTTGGGTCCTTGAATTTTACTTTCCAACCTAAAACGCCAACTTATTTGACCATTAAAATAATATACACTCACTTTATGACTTGCCGGTAAATTATGCTTTTATTCAACATGTATCATTTATTGTTTTTTCCATCCCTGAAAGGGTCCAACAAGCATATCATATTCACCTCCTCACACAAAAGAGAAAACAGCTTTTATAACTACTAGGATTTTTTTGCAGTATTCACAGAAAAATCATGTAATTAACTTGAAAAAAATGTTTGAAAGTGTAAACCTGATAAGACAATGTGGCAGCCAATTCTTCACCATAAGTATTTTTATTTTCCAAAAAAATATAAAAATGGTTAAATCTGTAATACATAATTGAATGAAGGAAAGACAAAATGTGATGACATGAAAAAAACTAAAGTGAACTTATTAGCATTGAAAATCGTGAATCTACTCAGAATCACAGCCTTATAATTCATATCTGACCTCCCATATGATAATCATAAACTGCATCAGTAAGGCCTCCAGCATAGTGGATGGTTCCAACTGACCCTTCTATACATTCTTTGCCCCCTCTTCTGTCTGGCGAAAGATAATGCATCTGATTAATCACACAGAAGGACACTTACGATTCTCTTAGGAACAGTGTTGTTTGATTATTTATCTGAAATCAAGTAAGGGGGCTGAACCTTTTTTCCTCAGCTTAAATATAAGCACTTCTAAAGAAACGTCTCTTGTCATAGGAGACTTAGAAGGTTAGGACAAATAAGGTTCAAAAGACCTGATGACTTGTTCATTGTCAGACTTTGTAACATCTTAATTTTCTTGATGATGCATATATTCTAACATTATATACACAAAAAATAACAGTTTGCTATTGAATATTGTTACCATTAACATTTATATGAAGAAGAACTGGCAGTTAAACAGACACAGATGTTTCATGTTCCTATACTAAGGGAGAAATGTGTATATAGTATTCATTAGAATGTGCTGTAATTTGTGGTGAATCTTAAACGTTTGCTTTTTATTATTTAACAGCCTCACCTGAGGAAGGTAGCCTTTGGTACTAAAAGGAGCAAGTGATGAACCTCTCAACGTACAGCAACATCACCCAGACTAAAATAAGGGACTCGTACACGATAGCTGTGACCAAGAATGTGATCGTTGTGGCTTTGTACTTCTCTATTAACTACATTAACAGCACACTTGTCCACACTTTCCTCAAGCATGAGATCTTCAATGAGAATCCTCGATATATCCTCTTCATCCATATGGTCATCAATGATATGATCCAGCTAACAATTGCAGTGTTGCTTAATCTTATTTTCTATATTTTTTATACAATTAATGTCTCTATCTGTTGCATTCTTATAATGATTGCAGTGTTCACCACCCTCAACACTCCCCTGAATCTGGCCGGCATGGCTGTGGAGCGCTACATTGCTATTTGTAACCCGTTACGTCACACACAGATTTGTACTGTGCGCAGGACATACATCCTAATTGGCCTCATTTGGGGCTTGGGTGCCATCACCATTCTTCCTGACCTGTTCTTTCTATTAGCCACTGAGCCTTTATCGTTTTTCCATTCTTCTGTCAACTGCCATCAAAACGCTCTGCTCCACCACCCATACGTGGTGGAGAAGAGAACAGTCTCATACCTGGTCTATCTCTCCTTAGTATGGCTCACTTTGTTCTACACCTACTTCAGAATCATGTTTACAGCCAAGGCCACCGGTGCAGACGCCCGGAAGGCCCGCAATACCATCGTCCTACATGGCCTGCAGCTTCTGTTGTGCATGTTAATGTATATTGTCCCACTAATTGAGAGTACGTTAACGTCTCTCTTCCCCATGCTTTTAAATGACATACGATTCACAATTTACATCTTTGTCCAGATTTTACCCAGGTTTATAAGTCCTATTGTGTACGGATTGAGGGATCAGATGTTCTGTGTATATCTGAAAAAGCACCTGCTGTGTATTAAGCTGGATGAAAAAAATCAAAAACAAACACAAAGCTTCTAACTGAGCTGAAACTGGAAAAAAAAATCAAAATTTTATCACCTATGTATAACGTTTTAAAGGATATTATGTATCCTCTGTAATGTGTGTTACGGTGGTGTACATTTGTTACTGAATGAAAGAAAAAAATTTAACTACATTTTTTGTGTGTACAAAGTAAACAAGTTTAAAAGGATGCTTTAAAGAGTTTGAGCACATGAAATGCAAAAAGAATTGTAAGAATGTGCATCTTTTCTGAGTGCATCCAATAACATACTAGGTTTAAAGGCAGAAGTGCGTCCTCAGCACTGATAATCAAAAACATCATTAAACTGTGTCAGTTATTTTACATAACTAGTCTTAGTATTTCTTTATTTTATCCAATTATGCATACCTGTTACAATTAATTGTAAATTTTTGATCACACATTTTTAAAACTTTGGTGCACTAAATTGAGTTTAAATAGAATTAATTATTGTGTCAAATGAACCTGTCCTGTCTGGATAGTTTGTGCATGGGATTGCAGACAAAAGCTGCACTATTACACCAGATCCATGACTGGCTGTGTGAGGTATCACTACTAGCAATTCTGTGAGCAGGTAGCAATTTCATCATGGACAATTATGCTAGTGACAAATACAGGAGGATAATGAGAGGGTCATCAAGTACTACAGCCAGCAGCTGAGCAAGCCACAGTGTAACATGAAAAGAATTGCTGGCTGTTTTGGTGGGGCCATGCCAGTTTCATCTTTACTTGCACAGTGTTCCCACAATGCTGCACACTGATCACGCCTCATTGACCTGGCTCATGCAATTCAAAGAGCTCAAGGCTCAGGTAGCAAGGTGGATTGTGGCATTACAGGAGCACAACTTCTCAATTCAGCATCATACCAGGTGCCTACACGGAAATGCCAATGCCCTGTCCTTCCACTCTTGTGCTGCTGAGAAATGCTGGTACTGTGTGCACCTTAAGAAGAAAGCAGAAACAGTGAAAAGGAACACTGCAGCCATGGCCGTCACCGTAGTAGCACTGAGCTTGATGGCTTAAGTCCTGAGGGATTCTGTTGTGCCCAGGAGGAATGAGCTGACCTCTTCTGGGCACGCGACTGGCTCAAAGCGGGACGGACACCAGAATGCACAGATGTAACACTGCATGGGCCCACTGCCAAGACACTTTGCACAAGCGGGGACAGCCTTCACTTGCATGAGGGGCTGTTGTACCGTGTGAGAGAAGAGCTGGTGTCTGTCCACCTAGATGTGGAGCTCTGTATGAACTGCTGCGACCTGTGCATGGCCAAGAATGGGCTGACGGAGCTGTTGCATGCTCCATTGCAGTCCTTCTGCTCTGGTGCCCCAATGGAAAGTGTAGCTGTGGACATCCTGGGCCCCTTTCCTACCACCAAAGTCAGGAAAAGCTACATTCTCGTGATCATGGATTATTTCACTAAATGGCTGGAGGCAAATGCCATTCCAAAGCAAAGTGTGATCATGATGGTGGAGCTGCTAGTAGAGGTGTTCTTCTGCTGGTTCAGAGTGCTGGAGGAGCTCGATAACAACTGGGATGCAATTTTGAGTCAGCAGTAAAGACAGGGGTCTACAACAAGCTGGGCATCCGAAAGATTAGGACCATGCCTCTCCAATCTATTGTCACTGACCAACACCAGCACAACCGGGACAAACATTTGCCCCTGGTCCTATTGGCATGTTGTTTCTCTGCTGTGCAGGAGTCGACTGGGTTCACTCCGGCTCTCTTTATATTCAGCCATGAGCTCAGAACACCCATGGAGCTGGTCTTCAGGAGTGCACCAACCAGGACTCATGCTGACCAGGACAGTGGACATTCCAGGACAGTGTTTCTCAGTTTAAAGTGTTCAGTGCTGTGAAAAATTATTTGCCCCTTCCCAATTTCTTCTATTTTTGCATATTTGTCACATTTGAATATTTCAAATCATTAAACTTTAATATTAGACAAAGATAACCCAAGTGAACACAAAATGCAGTTTATACATGATGATGAATTTATTGAAGGGAAAATACTCTTAAGCCCTACCTGGCCCTATGTAAAAAAGTTATTGTGCCCTTAGCTACTTAATCAAGCAGTTAACCAACTACAATTGACTGTTGGGTTCAATTTCACTAGCCACACCCAGGCATGATTATTGTCAGACCTGTTGAATCTAAACATCACTTAAATAGAACCTGTCTGACAATGTGAAGCAGCTAGAAGGTCTCAAAAAGCAGCACATGATGCCACGTTCTAAAGCGATTCAAATACAGATGCGCAACAAAGTCATTGAAATCTACCAGTGTGGAAAGAGTTACAAAGCCGTTGCTAAGGCTCTGGGACTCCAAAGAACCACAGTGAGAGCCTTTATCCACAAACAGAGAAAACTTGGAACGGCGGTGGACCCTCCCAGGAGTGGCCAGCCTAACCAAATTTCACCAAGAGTGCACTGACAACCCATCTAGGAGGTCACAAAAGAACATTTAAAGAACAGCAGGCCTCACTTGCCGCAGTTAAGGTCAATGTACACGTTTCCACGTTAAGAAAGACTTTTGGGATAATACTCTGTGGACTGATGAGTCAAAGCTGGAACTTTTTGGAAGACATGGTGTAAAGCTAACACTGCATTCCACCAGAGGAACATCATACCAACAGTAAAACATGGTGGTGGTAGTGTGATCGGGGGCTGCTTTGCTTCTGCAGGGCCTGGACAACTTGTCATAATTGATGAAACAATGAACTCTGCTCTGTATCAGAGAATCCTGATGGAGAATGTCCGTCTGTCAGTTCATGATCTATGTCTCAAGTTAGGTTATGCAACAGGACAATGATCCGGAGCACACAAGCAAGTCCATCTCTGAAAGGCTCAGAACAAACAAAATTAAGGCTTTGGAGTGGCTGAGTCAAAGTCCTGACTTGAATCCCATTGCGATGCTGTGGCAAGACCTTAAACGGGCAGTTCATGCTCAAAAACCCATTTTTCCTCCACAGCGATGTAAAAGACTCATTGCATATTATCTCAAAAGTTTGATTGCAGCTGTTACTGCCAAGGGTGGCACAATCAGTTATTAGGTTTAGGGGGCAATTACTTTTTCACTCTGATGATAAAGGTTTTTGATAAATGTTTATCTTCAATAAATAGAATAATCATTTTAAATCTACATTCTGTGTTTACTCGTGTTGTCCTTATCTTATATTGAAATTAGTTGGATGATCTAAAACATTTAAATGTGACAAATTAACAAAAATAGAATAAATCTGGTGAGGGGCAAATACTTTTTTTCACAGCACTTTATATGTGCTTATGTTATTCTGTACCAAGTTTGGGGTTAGATAGAGTTTTGTTTTCAGTAAACATTAGGAGAAAGAGTAGGGCTAGAAGTGACCTGCCCTCTTTTCAGGCTGCTTTTTAAGTGGCTTTTTCTGCAGTTCTAGATAACGAGAGCAATTTCCTGAATCTTCTTCTGCACAATGAATCATTGTTTTACATAAAATATAATAATTTCGTTGGGTCCTCGAATTTTACTTTCCAACCCAAAACACCAACTTATTTAACCATTAAAATAATATACAGTCACTTTATGACTGGCCGGTAAATTATGCTTTTATTCAACATTTATCATTTATTGTTTTTTCCATCCCTGAAAGGGTCCAACAAGCATATCATTCACCTCCTCAAACAAAAGAGAAAACAGCTTTTATAACTACTAGGATTTTTTTGCAGTATTCACAGAAAAATCATGTAATTAACTTGAAAAAAATGTTTGAAAGTGTAAACCTGATAAGACAATGTGGCAGCCAATTCATCACCATAAGTATTTTTATTTTCCAAAAAAATATAAAAATGGTTAAATCTGTAATACATAATTGAATGAAGGAAGGACAAAATGTGATGACATGAAAAAAACTAAAGTGAACTTATTAGCATTCAAAATCGTGAATCTACTCAGAATCACAGCCTTATAATTCATATCTGACCTCCCATATGATAATCATAAACTGCATCAGTAAGGCCTCCAGCATAGTGGATGGTTCCAACTGACCCTTCTATACATTCTTTGCCCCCCTCTTCTGTCTGGCGAAAGATAATGCATCTGATTAATCACACAGAAGGACACTTACGATTCTCTTAGGAACAGTGTTGTTTGATTATTTATCTGAAATCAAGTAAGGGGGCTGAACCTTTTTTCCTCAGCTTAAATATAAGCACTTCTAAAGAAAGCGTCTCTTGTCATAGGAGACTTAGAAGGTTAGGACAAATAAGGTTCAAAAGACCTGATGACTTGTTCATTGTCAGACTTTGTAACATCTTAATTTTCTTGATGATGCATATATTCTAACATTATATACACAAAAAATAACAGTTTGCTATTGAATATTGTTATTAACATTTATATGAAGAAGAACTGGCAGTTAAACAGACACAGATGTTTCATGTTCCTATACTAACGGAGAAATGTGTATATAGTATTCATTAGAATGTGCTGTAATTTGTGGTGAATCTTAAACGTTTGCTTTTTATTATTTAACAGCCTCACCTGAGGAAGGTAGCCTTTGGTACTAAAAGGAGCAAGTGATGAACCTCTCAACGTACAGCAACATCACCCAGACTAAAATAAGGGACTCGTACACGATAGCTGTGACCAAGAATGTGATCGTTGTGGCTTTGTACTTCTCCATCAACTACATTAACGGCACACTTGTCCACACTTTCCTCAAGCATGAGATCTTCAATGAGAATCCTCGATATATCCTCTTCATCCATATGGTCATCAATGATATGATCCAGCTAACAATTGCAGTGTTGCTTAATCTTATTTTCTATATTTTTTATACAATTAATGTCTCTATCTGTTGCATTCTTATAATGATTGCAGTGTTCACCACCCTCAACACTCCCCTGAATCTGGCCGGCATGGCTGTGGAGCGCTACATTGCTATTTGTAACCCGTTACGTCACACACAGATTTGTACTGTGCGCAGGACATACATCCTAATTGGCCTCATTTGGGGCTTGGGTGCCATCACCATTCTTCCTGACCTGTTCTTTCTGTTAGCCACTGAGCCTTTATCGTTTTTCCATTCTTCTGTCAACTGCCATCAAAACGCTCTGCTCCGCCACCCATACGTGGTGGAGAAGAGAACAGTCTCATACCTGGTCTATCTGTCCTTTGTATGGCTCACTTTGTTCTACACCTACTTCAGAATCATGTTTACAGCCAAGGCCACCGGTGCAGACGCCCGGAAGGCCCGCAATACCATCGTCCTGCATGGCCTGCAGCTTCTGCTGTGCATGTTCACATATATTGTCCCACTAATTGAGAGTACGTTAACCTCCCTCTTCCCCATGCTTTTAAATGACATACGATTCACAATTTACATCTTTGTCCAGATTTTACCCAGGTTTATAAGTCCTATTGTGTACGGATTGAGGGATCAGATGTTCTGTGCATATCTGAAAAAGCACCTGCTGTGTATTAAGCTGGATGAAAAAAATCAAAAACAAAAACAAACACAAAGCTTCTAACTGAGCTGAAACTGGAAAAAAAAATCAAAATTTTATCACCTATGTATAACGTTTTGAAGGATATTATGTATCCTCTGTAATGTGTGTTACGGTGGTGTACATTTGTTACTGAATGAAAGAAAAAAATTTAACTACATTTTTTGTGTGTACAAAGTAAACAAGTTTAAAAGGATGCTTTAAAGAGTTTGAGCACATGAAATGCAAAAAGAATTGTAAGAATGTGCATCTTTTCTGAGTGCATCCAATAACATACTAGGTTTAAAGGCAGAAGTGCATCCTCAGCACTGATAATCAAAAACATCATTAAACTGTGTCAGTTATTTTACATAACTAGTCTTAGTATTTCTTTATTTTATCCAATTATGCATGCCTGTTACAATTAATTGTAAATTTTTGATCACACATTTTTAAAACTTTGGTGCACTAAATTGAGTTTAAATAGAATTAATTATTGTGTCAAATGAACCTGTCCTGTCTGGATAGTTTGTGCATGGGATTGCAGACAAAAGCTGCACTATTACACCAGATCCATGACTGGCTGTGTGAGGTATCACTACTAGCAATTCTGTGAGCAGGTAGCAACTTCATCATGGACAATTATGCTAGTGACAAATACAGGAGGATAATGAGAGGGTCATCAAGTACTACAGCCAGCAGCTGAGCAAGCCACAGTGTAACATGAAAAGAATTGCTGGCTGTTTTGGTGGGGCCATGCCAGTTTCACCTTTACTTGCACAGTGTTCCCACAATGCTGCACACTGATCACGCCTCATTGACCTGGCTCATGCAATTCAAAGAGCTCAAGGCTCAGGTAGCAAGGTGGACTGTGGCATTACAGGAGCACAACTTCTCAATTCAGCATCATACCAGGTGCCTACATGGAAATGCCAATGCCCTGTCCTTCCACTCTTGTGCTGCTGAGAAATGCTGGTACTGTGTGCACCTTAAGAAGAAAGCAGAAACAGTGAAAAGGAACACTGCAGCCATGGCCGTCACCGTAGTAGCACTGAGCTTGATGGCTTAAGTCCTGAGGGATTCTGTTGTGCCCAGGAGGAATGAGCTGACCTCTTCTGGGCACGCGACTGGCTCAAAGCGGGACGGACACCAGAATGCACAGATGTAACACTGCATGGGCCCACTGCCAAGACACTTTGCACAAGCGGGGACAGCCTTCACTTGCATGAGGGGCTGTTGTACCGTGTGAGAGAAGAGCTGGTGTCTGTCCACCTAGATGTGGAGCTCTGTATGAACTGCTGCGACCTGTGCATGGCCAAGAATGGGCTGACGGAGCTGTTGCATGCTCCATTGCAGTCCTTCTGCTCTGGTGCCCCAATGGAAAGTGTAGCTGTGGACATCCTGGGCCCCTTTCCTACCACCAAAGTCAGGAAAAGCTACATTCTCGTGATCATGGATTATTTCACTAAATGGCTGGAGGCAAATGCCATTCCAAAGCAAAGTGTGATCATGATGGTGGAGCTGCTAGTAGAGGTGTTCTTCTGCTGGTTCAGAGTGCTGGAGGAGCTCGATAACAACTGGGATGCAATTTTGAGTCAGCAGTAAAGACAGGGGTCTACAACAAGCTGGGCATTCGAAAGATTAGGACCATGCCTCTCCAATCTATTGTCACTGACCAACACCAGCACAACCGGGACAAACATTTGCCCCTGGTCCTATTGGCATGTTGTTTCTCTGCTGTGCAGGAGTCGACTGGGTTCACTCCGGCTCTCTTTATATTCAGCCATGAGCTCAGAACACCCATGGAGCTGGTCTTCAGGAGTGCACCAACCAGGACTCATGCTGACCAGGACAGTGGACATTCCAGGACAGTGTTTCTCAGTTTAAAGTGTTCAGTGCTGTGAAAAATTATTTGCCCCTTCCCAATTTCTTCTATTTTTGCATATTTGTCACATTTGAATATTTCAAATCATTAAACTTTAATATTAGACAAAGATAACCCAAGTGAACACAAAATGCAGTTTATACATGATGTTTTCATTTATTGAAGGGAAAATACTCTTAAGCCCTACCTGGCCCTATGTAAAAAAGTTATTGTGCCCTTAGCTACTTAATCAAGCAGTTAACCAACTACAATTGACTGTTGGGTTCAATTTCACTAGCCACACCCAGGCATGATTATTGTCAGACCTGTTGAATCTAAACATCACTTAAATAGAACCTGTCTGACAATGTGAAGCAGCTAGAAGGTCTCAAAAAGCAGCACATGATGCCACGTTCTAAAGCGATTCAAATACAGATGCGCAACAAAGTCATTGAAATCTACCAGTGTGGAAAGAGTTACAAAGCCATTGCTAAGGCTCTGGGACTCCAAAGAACCACAGTGAGAGCCTTTATCCACAAACAGAGAAAACTTGGAACAGCGGTGGACCCTCCCAGGAGTGGCCAGCCTAACCAAATTTCACCAAGAGTGCACTGACAACCCATCTAGGAGGTCACAAAAGAACATTTAAAGAACAGCAGGCCTCACTTGCCGCAGTTAAGGTCAATGTACACGTTTCCACGTTAAGAAAGACTTTTGGGATAATACTCTGTGGACTGATGAGTCAAAGCTGGAACTTTTTGGAAGACATGGTGTAAAGCTAACACTGCATTCCACCAGAGGAACATCATACCAACAGTAAAACATGGTGGTGGTAGTGTGATCGGGGGCTGCTTTGCTTCTGCAGGGCCTGGACAACTTGTCATAATTGATGAAACAATGAACTCTGCTCTGTATCAGAGAATCCTGATGGAGAATGTCCGTCTGTCAGTTCATGATCTATGTCTCAAGTTAGGTTATGCAACAGGACAATGATCCGGAGCACACAAGCAAGTCCATCTCTGAAAGGCTCAGAACAAACAAAATTAAGGCTTTGGAGTGGCTGAGTCAAAGTCCTGACTTGAATCCCATTGCGATGCTGTGGCAAGACCTTAAACGGGCAGTTCATGCTCAAAAACCCATTTTTCCTCCACAGCGATGTAAAAGACTCATTGCATATTATCTCAAAAGTTTGATTGCAGCTGTTACTGCCAAGGGTGGCACAATCAGTTATTAGGTTTAGGGGGCAATTACTTTTTCACTCTGATGATAAAGGTTTTTGATAAATGTTTATCTTCAATAAATAGAATAATCATTTTAAATCTACATTCTGTGTTTACTCGTGTTGTCCTTATCTTATATTGAAATTAGTTGGATGATCTAAAACATTTAAATGTGACAAATTAACAAAAATAGAATAAATCTGGTGAGGGGCAAATACTTTTTTTCACAGCACTTTATATGTGCTTATGTTATTCTGTACCAAGTTTGGGGTTAGATAGAGTTTTGTTTTCAGTAAACATTAGGAGAAAGAGTAGGGCTAGAAGTGACCTGCCCTCTTTTCAGGCTGCTTTTTAAGTGGCTTTTTCTGCAGTTCTAGATAACGAGAGCAATTTCCTGAATCTTCTTCTGCACAATGAATCATTGTTTTACATAAAATATAATAATTTCGTTGGGTCCTCGAATTTTACTTTCCAACCCAAAACACCAACTTATTTAACCATTAAAATAATATACAGTCACTTTATGACTGGCCGGTAAATTATGCTTTTATTCAACATTTATCATTTATTGTTTTTTCCATCCCTGAAAGGGTCCAACAAGCATATCATTCACCTCCTCACACAAAAGAGAAAACAGCTTTTATAACTACTAGGATTTTTTGCAGTATTCACAGAAAAATCATGTAATTAACTTGAAAAAAATGTTTGAAAGTGTAAACCTGATAAGACAATGTGGCAGCCAATTCATCACCATAAGTATTTTTATTTTCCAAAAAAATATAAAAATGGTTAAATCTGTAATACATAATTGAATGAAGGAAGGACAAAATGTGATGACATGAAAAAACTAAAGTGAACTTATTAGCATTCAAAATCGTGAATCTACTCAGAATCACAGCCTTATAATTCATATCTGACCTCCCATATGATAATCATAAACTGCATCAGTAAGGCCTCCAGCATAGTGGATGGTTCCAACTGACCCTTCTATACATTCTTTGCCCCCCTCTTCTGTCTGGCGAAAGATAATGCATCTCATTAATCACACAGAAGGACACTTACGATTCTCTTAGGAACAGTGTTGTTTGATTATTTATCTGAAATCAAGTAAGGGGGCTGAACCTTTTTTCCTCAGCTTAAATATAAGCACTTCTAAAGAAGCGTCTCTTGTCATAGGAGACTTAGAAGGTTAGGACAAATAAGGTTCAAAAGACCTGATGACTGTTCATTGTCAGACTTTGTAACATCTTAATTTTCTTGATGATGCATATATTCTAACATTATATACACAAAAAATAACAGTTTGCTATTGAATATTGTTACATTAACATTTATATGAAGAAGAACTGGCAGTTAAACAGACACAGATGTTTCATGTTCCTATACTAACGGAGAAATGTGTATATAGTATTCATTAGAATGTGCTGTAATTTGTGGTGAATCTTAAATGTTTGCTTTTTATTATTTAACAGCCTCACCTGAGGAAGGTAGCCTTTGGTACTAAAAGGAGCAAGTGATGAACCTCTCAACGTACAGCAACATCACCCAGACTAAAATAAGGGACTCGTACACGATAGCTGTGACCAAGAATGTGATCGTTGTGGCTTTGTACTTCTCTATTAACTACATTAACGGCACACTTGTCCACACTTTCCTCAAGCATGAGATCTTCAATGAGAATCCTCGATATATCCTCTTCATCCATATGGTCATCAATGATATGATCCAGCTAACAATTGCAGTGTTGCTTAATCTTATTTTCTATATTTTTTATACAATTAATGTCTCTATCTGTTGCATTCTTATAATGATTGCAGTGTTCACCACCCTCAACACTCCCCTGAATCTGGCCGGCATGGCTGTGGAGCGCTACATTGCTATTTGTAACCCGTTACGTCACACACAGATTTGTACTGTGCGCAGGACATACATCCTAATTGGCCTCATTGGGGCTTGGGTGCCATCACCATTCTTCCTGACCTGTTCTTTCTATTAGCCACTGAGCCTTTATCGTTTTTCCATTCTTCTGTCAACTGCCATCAAAACGCTCTGCTCCGCCACCCATACATGGTGGAGAAGAGAACAGTCTCATACCTGGTCTATCTGTCCTTTGTATGGCTCACTTTGTTCTACACCTACTTCAGGATCATGTTTACTGCCAAGGCCACCGGTGCAGATGCCCGGAAGGCCCGCAATACCATCGTCCTGCATGGCCTGCAGCTTCTGCTGTGCATGTTCACATATATTGACCCACTAATTGAGAGTACGTTAACCTCCCTCTTCCCCATGCTTTTAAATGACATACGATTCACAATTTACATCTTTGTCCAGATTTTACCCAGGTTTATAAGTCCTATTGTGTACGGATTGAGGGATCAAATGTTCTGTGCATATCTGAAAAAGCACCTGCTGTGTATTAAGCTGGATGAAAAAAATCAAAAACAAACACAAAGCTTCTAACTGAGCTGAAACTGGAAAAAAAAAATCAAAATTTTATCACCTATGTATAACGTTTTAAAGGATATTATGTATCCTCTGTAATGTGTGTTACGGTGGTGTACATTTGTTACTGAATGAAAGAAAAAAATTTAACTACATTTTTTGTGTGTACAAAGTAAACAAGTTTAAAAGGATGCTTTAAAGAGTTTGAGCACATGAAATGCAAAAAGAATTGTAAGAATGTGCATCTTTTCTGAGTGCATCCAATAACATACTAGGTTTAAAGGCAGAAGTGCATCCTCAGCACTGATAATCAAAAACATCATTAAACTGTGTCAGTTATTTTACATAACTAGTCTTAGTATTTCTTTATTTTATCCAATTATGCATGCCTGTTACAATTAATTGTAAATTTTTGATCACACATTTTTAAAACTTTGGTGCACTAAATTGAGTTTAAATAGAATTAATTATTGTGTCAAATGAACCTGTCCTGTCTGGATAGTTTGTGCATGGGATTGCAGACAAAAGCTGCACTATTACACCAGATCCATGACTGGCTGTGTGAGGTATCACTACTAGCAATTCTGTGAGCAGGTAGCAACTTCATCATGGACAATTATGCTAGTGACAAATACAGGAGGATAATAAGAGGGTCATCGTGTACTACAGCCAGCAGCTGAGCAAGCCACAGTGTAACATGAAAAGAATTGCTGGCTGTTTTGGTGGGGCCATGCCAGTTTCATCTTTACTTGCAGTGTTCCCACAATGCTGCACACTGATCACGCCTCATTGACCTGGCTCATGCAATTCAAAGAGCCCAAGGCTCAGGTAGCAAGGTGGATTGTGGCATTACAGGAGCACAACTTCTCAATTCAGCATCATACCAGGTGCCTACACGGAAATGCCAATGCCCTGTCCTTCCACTCTTGTGCTGCTGAGAAATGCTGGTACTGTGTGCACCTTAAGAAGAAAGCAGAAACAGTGAAAAGGAACACTGCAGCCATGGCCGTCACCGTAGTAGCACTGAGCTTGATGGCTTAAGTCCTGAGGGATTCTGTTGTGCCCAGGAGGAATGAGCT